AGAGATGCCAAGTTCTATCCCCATAAACTGGCCTTAATCTGAGAAACTACTAGCCTTTTAGTTTTAATTATATTTTTTTTTAAAAGGAAAAAGTATACATATGTGTGTGTGTGTGTTAGTGCATGTGTGTGTATGCTCTATATAATAAGACTTCAATGTTGCCTTCAAAGATGAATAAAGAAATTAAGCTTGTATTTTATTTTTCTTTCAAAAACTTCCATCACTTGAATTCAAGCCATATCAGTATATCTAGAAGAGCATTCGAAGTGTTGTAAAAATTCATCACTCTTGCATTCAAAATTGCTTTGATGTAAAAATCTACATTTCTGTAGAGAAACTGTAAATAGTAACCCTCTCAGTACTATAAATTAGTGCATTCTGCTAGTATGAGTCATGTAAGTGCTGAAGACCCTGCCCTAAGATTGCTACCGTTCATCCTACCATGTCTTGGATGGGGCTGCCACTCTAAACAAATGTTTACTATTAACCTAGGCAGCTCACTGTACTGGAGAGTAAAATGAAGGAAAAAGAATCAAATTTCAAAGTTTCTCCTCAAATAGAAAGATGGAGATATATGTGAAAGGAAGATAGGGATATTTGGGTATTTTAATTGCATCCTGTTAGGCCAAAGCTCACCTGTAAAGCAGAGAATTATGTCCCATGTTACATTTGAAGTCAATTGAAAAGCTTAGTAACTGCTACTCAAGAAGCTGTTCTGAGCTCTGACAGTAGATTCTAAGCAGAAAATCACCTAATCCAGAGATCAGTGGCCTTGGACAAGGAGCTAAGACCACAGCACCTTCTAGATGGCTCCTTTTGAATGACTTCTCTCAGTTTGCATTTCTGTAGGGCCCTTCTCAGAAGAACACTGAGCATATTATCATCGTCCCCATGCATTTTACCTACCCTGTTCATCATAACTGTGGGTGCCATAACACGTCACTGCAGGAACATGGAAATATGGTTACCCAAACCTGAGAACTATGAATGAAATAAGAATTCCCAAATTCTTCGGGAAGTATACCTACTTAGGTAAGAATTTCTTAATGAAGTTCACCTTGTGCACTAAGGATTATGTAAGAAATCACTCCATGTCACTGCAGGAACATGGAAATATGGTTACCCAAACCTGAGAACTATGAATGAAATAAGAATTTCCAAATTCTTCGGGAAGTATACCTACTTAGGTAAGAATTTCTTAATGAAGTTCATCTTGTGCACTAAGGATTATGTAAGAAATCACTCCATGGGCAAGGATATTCAAGAGGTATTTGCATAGAAACCTTAAAGGGCTTCTCTATAGATGAGTGTGCTTTCCCTATTTTTACCATTGTCAGGGTTTCTTGTATCCAAGCATAAAAAAGAACATATTTTGAAAAATTTTAAGGCATCTAAAATAGTAGCTAAGAGAAAGTCTTAAACATCATCTTGACCTGAGTTCTAGTGACGGGTCCATCAATTGTTAGCTAGGTGACCCTGAGTAAGTTATTTAACCTCCTTGATCCTCACTTTTCTCCACTGTTGTAAAGAGTGGAAAGCCAGAAGTTGACAGCAGATCTGTCTTTTAAGCCTGTTCTTTTAACCACCACACTGGACTGCTCCAGACACTTTAAACAGCACCTTGCTTGTGGGAACTTGCTACATCTCTGCAGGCTGATTGATTTATCTTCAGGAATACCTTCTTCAATCAAAAGCCATGACAGCTAGAGCAAAACTCCAAGGCACAAGAGAAACATCTTTCTTCAATAAGTTTTACACATGCAAAAGCTCAATAGTTGAGTCTGAAGCTGAAAGGCACCCTCTTCAAATAGTAATAAGACTGATAAATAAATGTATTCTGTTCACAGCACAGAAAATCCAGAACCACACTTCAAGTTAACTCCTTGTCTGAAAATCAAATATGTCTCCAAAGCAGGAATGTCTACCTTTTTGAGAGCTGAGATATGAAATTTTAGTTGAGATATGGAAACTTAGTTGACTAATTTGGCAAACCTTTTAAATTTTTCTGAGAGGACACTAAGGCTTATGCACCTGAATATTTTTAATTAGAAATTACAGTTATTTTGTGATATTGTTGGGATTTTTACAACACATCTGAAAGCAGGGGTTCAGATTACCTGGCTTAGAGTTGCCAGATAAGTGCCACAAAGACGGCCCATCACAGTACAATTAGTATTTGCAGGAAGTATGGCAATCTACAGATGACATGCTGGACTAAAAACATTCAAATTCAAAACATCTTAAAACTGTGTGTAGCCTAACGAAACATAACTGAAAGTTACAGCAGGCCCTTTCCCCACAATTCTGAAACCCTACCTCAGACAATAGAAGACATGACTCCTCCACGCCTTCTGCCCAGGATTATTCTACAAACAAAACGGATGAGGCTGATGGCTGGGATATCCTCCGGGAGCCAGGCTTCACTGCTTTCTATGTCATCAGCCCTTTCTACATGGCTTTTTAGTGGATAGCCAGGCACAGCTCCATTAGTCTCATATCACAAGTCCCCACTCTGGTCAGGCTGGTCACCACACTCGCCACACTATGCCATGTGCATCCCTTTCCCACATTCACTCTGACAATCATTCTTTGCTCATCTTTTCTCCATGACCTCAAATGTCTTCACCTTTCCTAGATCGAGCCAAATCTAATCTATGTTTAATTTTGCTCCTTCGTTTTTGTTTTTTTTTTAATCCATGCAAATACCACAGAAGTGCTCTGGACTAAGACTGCTTTTGGAGGGTAGGGAAGGCTTCTTGAGAGGTGACATGTATACATGGTTTAGATGGAAGAATGTATGACTGTCAAGTGGAGAAAGGACAAACAGCCTTCTAGGCAGAGGGAACAGCATGTACAGAGTCATACAAGAGTCTGAAGGCCATGGCAGGCATGGAGGGATAAGAGGCTGGAGAACTGGCTGCAGTCAGAATAAGAAGACCTTTTTTTGCCTCACTGAAGCAATGGGATTTCATCCTGGAAGCAAAAGGAAGCCAAATACTTGTTTTTTGTTGTTGTTGTTGTTTGTTTTTATTTTGTTTCTACCCAAAAGAGTGACAGGATCTGGTTTGGGTCAAAGCCCCGGTCAAGCCCAAATCTTCAGTGGGGTCTGCTCTTATCATGCAAGCATCCCCTTCTTCAGTGTCCCCACACCCCTTAACACCCATACCACACAAATGGGTATTATTACCTACAGCGCTTACAGGTATCTTTATGTTTCCAGTGACTAGAGAGTACCTAAGGGCAGGAGCCTTTTATTTTTAACTTCTGTGTCCTAATAGAGCCTAAGAGTACTGAGCAAGTAAATGCTGAACAAACTCCCAGGACTGACTGATTCAGAGTCCTCCAGGAGATAGATTCAGCAGACTAGGTTCCAGAGATAAGAGAAGGGAAAGCCCCAAACCAAGGTCACTACAGCACTCACTGCTGTCCATGATGACAGGATCCAGGACCACAAAAGTTAACTTCAAAAGCAACTATCCTTGAGTCTATCCTGCTAAACTTTACTCCTCTCCCTTTCTGCCCATATCTGCTCCACCACCCAAGCTGTGATTCCTATACCCCTCGGGAATACTGAGCCAGAAGGAATATAGGTGCCAGCACATCTCTGGCTTAAAGCATACCCTGTTGACTGGGAGATCAGGGGGCAATCTATGCATTTAAAAGTGCATCTGGCCCTGAAGTAAGAGAGTGTCTCTGTGCCTGTGTGTAAATACCAAGTTGCAGCAGGTTACCATAGCAACCCCAACAGGGCACTGCCATGGACAGCTTTGCACAGAGGTGCAGAAAACCCATTTTTTAACATCTGGGCTTTCGCTATATGCACATTGAATCCTAGTAAGCACGATCACAGCATTAGGCCCATGCTTTGGGATTCTGCAAAACAGGTAGTGGGATTTTGAATACCTGCTAATCCAACCTTCCCTTGTCCATGCACCACGCATGTTCCTCTTCATACACAGTAAACACTGCATGCAGAGTCCAAAATAGCCTCTTTAGAAATACATAATTCCCTGTATTCATTCCTGTATACTGTGATGAACAGATTGTACTTGCACATCAGCATGACTTCAACACAAAATTTACATCCACTGAATAACCTAGCAATTCTACATTTTAATGAGTAGCATATCCACAATGTTCCCATTTCCAGCCAGCCCCCAGATTTTATTATGTTATTGGTATTTTTAATGCAAAATAAATAATCCTATCAAGAGTGTGGGTTGGGTTTAATGGGTTTGACTGAGCTGCACTCCAGAAACCGTAAACCAACTTTTTAAAGCACCAGGCAATTTTTGAAATTGCTTTTTCATAGGGGTTGCGGAGTAGGGGTTTACACACCCACTTCCTAATGTTTTCACTGTGCAGATATCTCTTGCAAAGCAGAAGCAAGAGGGAGATGTTAGATTCCACATGTGGCTCTAACTGACGTATGGCCTTCAGGAAGCCATGTTCCTGCAAAGTGTACTCTAGCTGGTAGGGCATTAGGTAGATGGAACAGCCTAATGGACATTTCCATTTTTTTTTTTTCTTGGATCTAGAGACTGACTTGTGGTTATCTTTGAATTCTCTCCTGGGCAAAATAAGAATAATGTACAGCATCACTAAAGAAATGAATCGCATGGTGGGTGTGCACAGCAGGGTGAAAGATACATGTGCACGTGGAGAAGTGAGGGAGATGTGGTTAACTAAGTCACATGAACCCTATAGTGCTTTGTTTTAGATATATTGGAAAAATGTGTGCCAATCTTATACGGAAATTATGCAGGTGGCTGACTTAGGGGTTACATTTAGACATGGAGGTAGAACTTCCCAAGATGAACACCAGGGCTCTAAGAAACTTGAGTGTTTGGAAGGGAGGGGATTAGTAACCTGGTGATAAAGGGCTCTGATGACTGAGGACTAGAGATCCAGCCGGTGCAATCTGGCCTGCACATGCCTGGCAAGGTGATGACAGGGCACCTGTTTTAAAGCCCCTGGGAAATGCTGTGGGTGTCCAGGGAGTGTAAAGCAAAGAACTGAGCATATGGCCAGGAGTGGGAGAGGACTTAGGGTAGCTGAGCTGGTAGCAGACAAAAAGTGCTGTGTGGATGTGCTCCTGAATCAAAGCTGGGAGGACAAGGCCCGGGAAAGGTTTCAGAGAGACTCATGCAACCTGTTCCTTTGGGGCAGGGCAGTTGAGGGGAAGCTGAGCTTCCAGGTCGGGTTTGGGGAGAAGTCAGGTGCACTGAGACGCCAGCCTGCGAGTGGGTGTGGAGGACGGTCCTGGAGTGGGGCGTCTCCTGGGAGGTAGGAGTGGGGGAGGGGAGGTCGTTAGCGAGTGGGTGTGTGGAGCCAGCCGGAGTGGGGGGTGGGGGCGCCTGTTCAGCGCCTCCGGCTGCCTCGACCTCCCCCGGGACTCACCCAGCACGAAGTAGGGCAGCTCGGTGTTCTCCAGGTCGTCCACCACGACCATTTCTCCCGGGAAGTCGTTGCGCACCGAGAAGAGGAGCTTGGGCTCCGAGGCCGAGGGGCTGTGCATGATGCTCAGGTCGTTCTCGCGCAGGAAGGGCAGCGCCGACACCGTGATGCTCTTGAGCTTGCACTCCAGCTCCTTGGATGCATCCACGTCGCCGGGGGCCGTGGCCAGCACCGCCGCCGGCCCCCAGCAGCAGGCGAGTAGGGCGCAGAGCCCGGCTAAAGCCATCTTGAGCCCCGGCCGCCTTCCTCCCAGCGCTGCGATGGTGGGGGAGGAAGCGGGCGGGGAGGGAGCGAGACAGCGAGCGGGCGCGGGAGGCGGGGGAGGCTGGGGAGGGCTGGAGGGGACGGGGAGCCGGGAGAGCCCTGGTCCCCGGAAAGGGATGCCGCTGCCAGAGTGCTGGGCTGAAGCTCCGAGGTCTGGAGAGCCCGGATTCTTTGTTTCCCGGAGCTGCTTTATCTGGGGAAGGGAAAAGGGGAGGAGGGGGGAGAGGAGAAAAGAGAAGGAAGGACGTGGATAGGAAAGAGGAAGGGGGCCGGGGATTCTAGGGAATCAGGTCAGCCCCCAGCTGGCCACCGATGCTCCCGCCTCTCCCCTCCTTTGCATCCCCTGGCGTGAGCAACGCTCTTGGTGAACTACCTGCACTGCATTTTTTAAAAAAATTGTTCTTTGCAATGCAAAATCTTCCCTCTCGCATCATTATCCAGATGGCTTGGGAAAGGCACCCACAGGCATACACCTTAAAGGGCACTTCCTCAGAGCAGGTGGGGAGGAGGAAATCTTTCTAGATGCAAATTCCTCCAGTGATTTTGTGGATGAAGCTGTCCCATTCTTGTCTTTTTTCTACCCACTAGTTGAATTTGTATATTGGATGAGCGAGTGCTGGGATAAATGCACATGTGTGTATTTTCACTCAGCACTAACTTTGCAAAATATGTAAAAGAAATATTTGGTATATTGATATAGATAGATGGATAGATAGACAGGCACAACAAAGAACAAAGCCTGTGTACTGCATACAGTTAAGCAGGAGACCAGAACTTTTACTTGCAGCTTTTGTCTGCTTCTTTATTTCATTTCTGTTACAGATGCTATCCACTGTAACCAATAAAAAGAGGATTTAGGGAGCATTATAATTTATAGAAAAAAGCAGAGTTATCTCAAAGAAATATTGAGCTTTTAATTTTAGAGAATCCAGTAAATAGAACAGAGCTGGGAGAAATGTGAGAAAAAGTAAATTTTCGAAGCACACTTAACAAATGGAAAAGTAATAAAAGAATATCCTTGGGAGTGAGCTGAGTCAGTCCCAGCTGAGAGTACCGCAGGGTAGACCTCTAGCCCTCTGCTTCAGTATTTTGAGGAATATCAATAACATCCACTACAAAAACCCATGTAAGATCTGTTCCTAGTAGTGCTGGGCAGTGTTGCCTTTAAAAAATGATGACAGGATGAAATAAACAGTGGTGGAGAAGTGATATTTGTGTATGCTGGAATCCGATATTTATCTGAATGTTCTCTCACATGATAACCAATAATTTATTTCAAAACCACACCCCTCCAACATCATTTGTTCAAAGCTGATTTACATATCAGGTAGTACAAAGACTATTATATGTAGTTACCATTCTCTAGAAAATTCATGTACTGCCCTTTTCAAAGAGGACCTCTACTTTAGAAGCAGTTACATTCCTACTCTACCTAGTGTCAATTTATTGGTTTATGTGAATAAATGTCCTTCAAAAGACAAAAAGAAAAGCTTTTGCCGTATATTTCACAAGGTTAATCTAGTTGAATAGAGAAAATAAGCCGTATTTAAGGACATGTATAAGGAGGGAAAGATCTGTTTACTACAAAAAAAAAAAAAGAACAAAAATCCTCCGTTATAAATTGAGTTTTAAAACTGACATATCTGAGAATCAACCTAGAAGTATATTGCCATACAGCATTGCAAACAACTGCAAAAAATATATATCAGATAATAATGGTTAAAAACTTATCCTCATCCTCATCACTCCCCTAGGAAATACTGGGAGAGATAAAGACCCCATGATACCTTCTTTTCTACTCTCCCTAGTATAAGAATACTAAATAAATAAATAATAAACTTAACTAGGCAAGGTTATTTGCCATTGAATAATTAGCATGTATGCCAGTAAAACACAAGTAGTGTCTAAGAAATGGTGTGAATCTACCAGATCATCTATTAGTCCAATCTCTCATTTAACAGATGAGAAAACTGGGGCCAGTGAAATTGTGAGGTGCTTTACAGGATTGATATGCTAAGAAGGTGTGGCGCTAAGACCATAAACAAGGTTTCTTTGCCTGGTGCTCTTTTCACTACACAGTTACGGTACACAGGGGTGCAGCCATAGATAATCAGTGGACTTTATTTACCATAGTAATTCATCAGCAAACATTTCATACCTACCATATCTTGGGTGTTAAGCTAAGCATGGGCAGAAAAATACTCCTACTTTTGAGTAGTGTGCAATCTATTATTTTGAAATCTTTTTTTCCTAATTTTCTGAAGAGTCTCGAGTCATGTTAGAAAACCCCAGTGAACCATTGAGGGTTGACTTTCTGATAAGTCAATATCTGGTCTTCTTAAAATATATATTGAGTTGGAAATAGTTTGAAGTTGGTTTTTCAAGCTTTTATAGACCTCTCTCTCTAAAGAAGGGTCAAGCAAGAGAAACTGTAGAAATAAAAATAGGGCATATTTCGCTAGGACACTTGATTCCTTTAAACATGGATATAATGTCACATGGTCTCCTCTTAGGGAATTAAATACCTATAGATGGGGGTAGAGGTTGAAGTTCACAGAACCAGATCATGTCTACTGTATGATGTTTTATATTTAAAAGAGACAGGGAGAAATGTGTATGCATCTCAATTATCACCTCTGTATAAAGGCAACATGATGTAGTGAATCAAAAGAATTAGATTCAAGTCTCAACTTCATAATATTCTTATTTGGAGGTGAGCTTGGACCATTCTTATCTTCAGTTTCCCCATCAATAAAATGTGGGTGATCTTCTCTGCCCACCCCACAGCCCATAGATAATATATGTATAAATATTTACATTCTTTAAAACACTATAAAATAGCAGTGACTGTTACCTTCAATCCTGACTTTTCTCCTGAGGCCTAACTTATATTTAAAGTGTCAATGGCCTCTTTCCTTGACTTTAGCTTTTAATTGCTTTTCCTGCTATCAACCTATTCTGTACGCAGCTACCAGGCTGATCTTCAGGAAATCTTCCATCATGTCATTCTAGCTTTTCTTTTTCTACAGAATAAAGTTTAAACACCATGACTTGGAAATTTAAAAATTCTTCCAAATCTCATGCTTTTTATTCTTCTAGATAGATGGTTCACTGACTATATCTCCTCTCCCCTACCACATGTGCACACGCATGCATGTGCACATGCACACACACAAACTTTCTTGCAGGAGAGCAAGGGCCATTTCCAAAAACAGCATATTGCATTCAATATTCTCATCTGCAAAATAGAAATAATAATACATAATCTTTAGGGTGGTTGTGAGGAGGAAATGAGATTATGCGTATAATGGATCTGACACATTTTAGGCATTTAGTTGGTGCTCAATAGTGATAGCCTTTAGCATGATCACCTGATTTAATTATTTTGGAGAGAAAGAAGGCTTCACAAGATTTTCTCCGGTGTAGTAGCCAAAAAAAAAAAAAAAATTAACTGATTTACACTCCTACACTACTTGGTGTTTGCCCAGGAGAAATGATTTACATATGTCCACCAAAAGACAAGTATAAGAAAATTAATAGCAGCTTTACTAACAGGACACACACAAAAAATGGAAAACAAACATACACGAATAAGAGAATGGATAGAAGTCATATAGTCATGCAATGGAATACTGCACAGCAATAAAAAGTGCAACTACATGGATGGATCTCACAGAAATAATGATGAATGAAAGAAATAAGACAGGAAAGAGTGCATACTCTAACATTCCATATGTACAAAATTCCAGAGCAGGTAACATTACTCCTTGGTGATGGAAGTCAGAATAGTAGTTATTCCTGGGGAGTGAATGGTTTTGACTGAGAAGTGGCACGAGAGTACTTCCTGGGAATGATATGGGTACTGGGGTAGTGGTTATATCGATGCATATATTGGCGAAAACTCATCAAACTGTACCCTTGCAGAATTCTTTAATGCATATGTTACCTTATTAAACATTTTTTTACATGGCTTAGCACTCCATAGGAGAAGAAAGCTCAGGAAAGTTTTTCTTTCTTCATGTTGTTTTCTTGCCTGCCAACTCCACCCTCTTCCTCTCTCCTTTAGAGATCTTAGAAATTTTAACTCTCTTTCCATCAAAATTGGTAATTATTTGTATAACCACTACCTCCATTTACCCAGTTCCTTACACTATTTTACATGAACCTCAACATCCAGTGTCTTATCAATTGGGACAAATTTGTGGGCCTCTGTCTCTAGGAATCACAGAAGTAAATAATTCAGCAATTGGGCAGCAACAAATTTAGTCTTTCACTGCTTCACTTGGATATTTTTTCCTAGACAGAGAGTTGGGAAACCTGTGAAACCACCATTCTCTGACATGTTTTGTAGCCTAAGCAAACAGATTTCCTGCACCATGCAGAAGGAAAGTCAAGCCTGTATAAGATACACAGGAGGGAATACAGGTGAAAGTGATGGGTGGGGGGGAGGCTGAGCGTATGTATGTGAGATGCTATTTCTAATTTTTCCTCATTCACTTAGAGCATCTGTGATGCTTTTTATCTAAACCCGATGCATATTACTTTGTCATTCATTAAACCTCTGCATTCTTTTATTTTTTTTCACTTCTTTATAAAATAATCTCTGATGTTGCTCTGCATTCAAGGAAACTAAATTGAGACACTTCTCTCCCTTTCTGATGGTATATTCTTCTCTCCCTATTTCCCCCATCACATGACTTAGTGTAAATCCTCCAAATTCCTTTCCCATCTCTTCTGTTGAATTGGATTTTTTTTATCAAATAGTACTTTCCCATGCTCTTGCCAAAATTTAGTGTAATATGACAGTTAACAGGACATATTTTAGTTTTGCATCCTCATTAGGACATCAAAAATATATAATTTACACCCTTTAACGCAAAGTTAATATTTTCTTCCCTTATTGTTTTTTATTTTTTCTTTTACCCATCCTCCCTGCCTCTCTTCCTCTCTTTCAATTCACAGGCCCAGCAACAGCACCTGCTTCACAGAAACAAGGCTGGTCCTGTTCTGACTTCTCGAGTTTTCCTTTAAAGACCGAACGGAGATGCACAGTCCCTCTTTTCTGACACACACTGAAGTCAAAGGAGACACGCAGAAGAAAAACACCACAGGCAAAACAATTCCCTTTTTTGGAAGCAGGACATTTTTGCCTCTTAATCTCTCTGCAGAAACCTGAAGTTCTTTTCTTTGCCTTTGTCTTCACAGTCCTGGTGCGGGGGCAGAATGTTTCTTGATTTAGCTGCCCAGCATCTCTAATGTTTCCCTCTTTAGCCATCCTAGTGGGTTCCTGCTATCTTTTAACTCTCTGTCCACCACCACCCCCCACTCCCCCATGTCTGGTGTGTGTGTGTGTGTGTGTGTGTGTGTGTGTACTATTTCTCACTTGAGAGCTCATTTCTAATTAAGTAATTCAGGAGGCTAAAATGCACAAAACAACCGAATGAAACCTCAAATTAGAAGGAAAATGGCTCAAATGGATCCCCATCTCTGGGAGTTCTAGTTAAGCAAGCAAACAAAATGGGCTGGGACAAATGGTTATTGTAACTCAGGAAGATTTGAAGAAAATGTAATTAGCTCCCCAGCTACTTCTTTTTCCTCAGCGTTCTAAGACTCTCCAACCCCCCAACCCGTGAATTTATCCACGGCTTCCTCATCCACCCCCAAAAGTCCCTGCTGCAAAGCTGGGAGGGTTAACAGAGCTGGTACCCCAGCCTGCCAGCTAACCAAAGCAGAGAGCCGGTGAAGCTCAGAGCCCGCCCTCTGCCAGGCCGCCCAGCCAATGGGCACCTGTGGGGAGTGTGGTGCCCTGTCCCATTGGCTGCCAAGCTACGTGCATAAGAAAGAAAGAGAGAGGCAGGCAGGGCAGCATTGTTATCTTAAGACACTCATCTGGAGTCTGAGTCTGCAGGTGACACTGCTTAGGTACGGAGCGCGGAGTCGGAGCGGGAAGGCGCCGGGCTGCAGCCCTGGGATGGGATCCGCCTGCCTCGCCCGCAGCTCGCGGCTCCTCCCGCAGCGCCTTGGCTGAGCTCGGAGGATCCCGTGAGGACTTGCCCAGAGATGTGCACCTGCCGCGCGCTCCCAGGGCAGGGGCCGGGGTGCAGGCAGCCGAGGGAGCGGTGAAGCGGCGGAAACCGTCTCTGCCCATGTGCCAGACAGTGATTTTGGGGGAGAGAGAGGGCGGGTGAGTCTCTTCAGAGTTGGGAAGAAGGCAAGATCTTTGGTTTCTCCTCGGCGGAGGGACAGGGGACTCCCTCACTTGGGTTTTGCACTTTCCTTACCTCTCCCACCCGGCGTGCGAACCCGGCCCAGCGCCGAAGAAGCCCCACTTCAAAGATGCTGTGGGGGACCGGGATCCTTGCTGCTCAGCGGGAAGTCAGCAGGCAAGTGGTCTAACGGCGCGGCGACAGCAGCAGCAGCAAAGCGGGGAGCAAGAGAATTTGAAGAGACATCGCTCGCTCCCTCTCACACTCTGAGGGGGAGGCATTCACGTTTCCCCAAATGAGAAAGAGCCACAAGAAATCATGAAGTAGAAACTTTGGAAAGCTGCCACTGGAGATGGTGCACAAAAACCTGGGATCTTTTAGGAGTCTCCTCCCAGTCGTTGGAGGTTTGGGGAGCAGCTGATACAGCGAAGAGGGCTCTTGCGAGGATTCGAGGTAACAGTGCAGGGTTTGGGTGTTTTTCCTCTATCCCTCCTTCACTGTCCGTTTTGTGTGTCCATTGGTAAGGGGATCATTTTGCACTTATACAGCCAGTCCCGGTGCCCGGCAGTTGGCAGGCAGAAGGAATGATTCCGCCTCTCTTATTTTTTGTCTTGTGGAGCTAAGCAGTGGACTTTGGGGTTTAGCTAGAGATCGCACCGCTGTCACACGGCTTGGCCACTCTGCCTGACCTATATTGCTTCTGCCTGGTTTAAGTCCTCAAAGTTAGTGCAACTCCCATTAGCTTCAGAAAATCCAATCGGGCTGCATAATTGCAGAAGATGACGATGACTTTTGCCTGCCCAGTCGGTGCAGGACTGAACTGTATGAGGTTCACTCTGTTTGGGAAAGACCCTGAAGAGCTGAGGTCGCGATGCACAATACATCTATATTCACATGTTCACAGAGCCCTGTAGCATGTCTGTAGAGGTCAATCTCTTCCTCCCATGCAATATGCAGCCAGGGAAAAAAAATTCCAAAGAGTCAACCCCATAGGTTGCAAATAGTCTCCCCTGGGTAATGGCAGAAGCCCCATTGATTGAGTTGAGCCTGGCAGAACACTGGAGACACTAGGGGAGAACATTGCTGTGCTGAAAGGAGGGGTGTGCTGGTACCATCTAGCAGATCTCTCTCCCTGATTCTATAATCATCTGGGTACACAGTCGAACACTGCCTGTGGGCGCTCTCTCTCTCTCTCTGTGTGTATGCGTGTGTGTGTGTGCGTGTGTGTGTGTGCTTGTGCTTACAGCTGTATCAGGAAACAGGCTGCCCATAGAAGAACCAAGCACAGGCAGCACCCTGCCCAGGCCACAGATGTTGGAGTGTTCCTGCCTAGTAGGACCATGAACTTGTGAGCTGCTGTTTTAGCCCAGAGGAGTTTTCTCCTCACCAAGCAGTCCCTCTTCATGTTACATATTTATTCAGCGTATGTAGACCTAAGCCAAATATTAACTATTATTCAAGCTAATGCATGGTAACGTGATTAAACAGACCCCTCTGTAAAGAACTGTGTGTATGCTCTTCCTAGCTCTGGGAGCGGGGTTCCCTGAGCAGGAACAAATGGTTTGTTAAAAGGATAACAATTATAAAAGACCGTGCTTGTAGCTGGGTAATCTGGGCCTTATCCAGCAGGGACAGTGATATGTCAGCACAGACCAATGAGAAGAATAAAAGGTATATTGCAAGCCAAGTATTTCTGCCTCTGTCCTTCTCCAGACATGTGCATGCTGAAGTGACTCTCTCTTACCCATGCTCTCTAGAGTACATGCAATGCCAGTATTAACCAAGCAGCTAAAGTATTTTACCAAATCCCCTGGGGGGCAGTCTGATGATATCAGGCAACAGCAAAGTGATGCTGGAGTTTGCATGTTTTCCCTCCTGACTTCACACAGTTGTGCGTATGTTATTTGTTTAAGGCATGACCCTCTGGAGTTCCTTATCACTCAGAATAAGTTGCTTTGCAGCACTGAGATCATGACCAAGCAATGTTGCCACAGTGATCCTGTCTTATGAATATCATAGCTGCTGCCTACTCTGGGAAAAGATGCATGCTTTGTTTCTTTGAGGAGGGATATGATTGGAAAAGGTGCAGAACATGGATACTGTGAAATGTTTCAGGGAAAGGAAGCAAATGTCAGACTAGAGTCTCCCCTGCTGGAAAGCAGATGGCTCCAAAGGGTTCCACAGCTGGATGCAGCCATGCAGAAGACAGAAGCATTCTTGCTCTTGCTTCCCCTTCTCATCAAAAGTGGAGATGGCTTTGCCTCCCAGAATGGAGTGATGTGTGCTGCAGTGTGGGCACAAGGAAGAGGGTGAGGAGAGAAGGGCGAGGAGGGAGAAAGGTTCCCACTCTGTTAGCACTGGGCTGGTCACAAGGATGGGAAGCATCTTCTCTTTTTGACCCTCAAAATCATCTTCTGGGTGTTCCTTTCTGGCCTCCTGACAGTTGTTTACTGAACAAGACCAGAGGGCAAAGAACATCCCTGCGTCATCAGCCCCTCCTGATCCCTTTCCCAAGGCACAGTGTGGCCACTGGGGACACTTGCATAAAAAAGATACCCTCTGAGACGCTTCTCCAAAATCCCTCCCCTGCTCACAAACAAGAGATAATCTGGAGGGACTTGAGATATCTGCGTGGGCACTTTCTGCTGACTGGGATGCTTAGTGTTGAGGTTTTCTGGTTATTGTTTTGTTTTCTCTACTGTGCACTGTATTTTTGGTGATTCAACTCTTTCTCTTGAATAATAAGATCTTGTATACATTTTATAATGGTATCCTTTTCCAAAGGGCTGGGAGCATTTTACAAAGCTCATCTAATTAATCCTCACATGACTTATTGTCTCATTTATCTTTGATTACCCTAAGAAGTAGAGCTAGAATGATGTTAGCCTCATTCTTGGAAAAGGGAGGGCAGAGAACCTCAGAAAGAGGAACTGCTTTATGCTGGGTCACACAGCAATTAAAGGAAACTATGGAATGGACTCCATATCTCACTGCTCCTCAACCAACCCTAGACTCCTCTGGCTTCTTCTAGGAATGGTTTAATCTTAGCAATTGTGATTTGATTTAGTTGTTGTGTACTTCAGAATGATAGGAGGTTGCAGTGTGGCTTCACCTCTGGCACTAACCTAAGGTCTGTGAGGAATCAAAGTCTTATGAAATTTTGCCCTCAATGATCTTACAGTCTAGTTAGGAAAATAGGTTCATATTTTGGAAAATCTAAATGACAATGTAAGTTCTAAACAGCAGTTCAATACAAGAGAAGTCAAAGCTTGATCTAATTAATCAGTGATTGATTTGTACAGATAATGAGACCTATCGGTATTCAAGAGAGGGAGAATTTGGGTTGAGTCATGAGGGATGGGATGGGATTTGTTTGGAGAGGGAGAGAGGGTAAAAGGTCTCCAGCTGACAGAGATGCTAACTGCAGCACAGTTGAAGAGGGTGGTAACTTCAAGGCTTGCATGATTCATTGAGGTTTACCTGGGCCACCTCTCCCCTTGTATCCTGGAAATACCATCACCTGGTTTAATTATTTTAAACATACATTGGCATAGAGAAAGTTGCTCTAGGATCCAGGCAGAAGGCTCTGAAATGTTGGGCATCTCATCAGGCATTGAAAATTACCTGGCCTTCCACCCACCCTCAAGTCTAATTTCTATTTTATGGGAAAAAATGTTGCTCAAGGTTAGAGAGCTTATCGATATTATATCCAAAAATATTAATGAGGATATTGGGAGAAAGGAGGTAGATTACAAGAGAACATGAGAAAATCTTCTCATGTTTTAGAATCAGAATCTCCTAAAAGAGAGCCTTGATTTTCCACCGTTTCTTATTTCCCCACCCAAATGTTCCTCTTGGGGTTTACTTAGAGCTGGCAAAATGCCAAAGCCCTTAGGCATTTAGCATTGAGCAGGAGATTTCCAGTCTTAAGATTCTTGAGCATGCCCATGTATATAACCTTTTGTCTCCCCTTCTCTTTCCTTTTTAATAAAACATATGCTGTAGCAGTCACAAAGGAGGAGACCACAAAAAAGTGAGGGGGGTGGGGTGCACTATTGCCCATAGCTGTACCATAGGGCACTGTGATTGCCCAGCTGAGCAAGACAGGGGAGAGGCAGTCTGCCAGCCTGGGCAGTGTCAAGGAAGGGCCAAGTGCTTCCACCTACCAGGAGAAGGCTGTGACCAGCCAGCCATACACATTTGCTCCAGCAGTGGACTTCTTTCCCAGAGAAAAGGTCAAGGCAAGGCAAGGTCCTTTGAGAGGACTGATAACACAGCCAACCTACTCATTGGTCTTCGCTTGGTTGGAGACATCTATTCATGCTGCATGTCACCAGTTGCTTGGTGGCTCCATTCCAACATGGAGGAAGTTCCTATTGGGCATGAGAAAGGAATAACTTTCCTAAAATCACAGCATAATTTCTCTCAGATCAAGAGAGAAATCTCCAGGAAGCCAGTCTGTTTGCTTGCTTAGTCCCAGGAGTTCATTCTGGGAACAGGTTTCCAGAGGCATTTACTTTCTCTTAAAAATCTTCCCCTAAGCCTTGCTGTCACCTTTGTTTCCTGTGTTAAATGACCATGCAGCTGGACTGTGGACATCACGCTTTTTCTCTTTATTATTCTGAAGCATCCCCTGGCATGTTTGGGGGCTGCAGTAGAGACCCAGGCCCATGGGTATGTGGTTATTGGCTGCATATTAAATCTTCTTTTATTGGGGAATGAAGTGACAAGCAGTTCAGTTATGCTTCAGAATGGAGGCTGCAACTGGAGAGTCTCATCTGAGCAATCAAGATGCAGTTTGGTCCCTCTTTAAAGTGTCACTCTGCCGTGCAGGGGGGAAGTAGGTTGAGTAGCATCATTGTAGCATGGAATTGTCAACAGCCATTCCCTCAGTCCTTTTACCAAAGCTCACACGAAATGCAGATCTATGGGGAATGCTGGATTGGGCAAAGAGAGCAGGCAATTTGGTGCCTCAACAGCACCGAGCTCTAATCTGCACTGCAATATGGTAGCCACTAGCCACATGTGGCTCTTGGACACTTGAAATATATGCTGCAAAGGTAAAATACACATTGGGTTTTGAAGATTTACTTTAAAAAAAGAATGTAAAATATCACATCAATACTTTTTAAATATTGATTGCATGTTAAAATAATATTCTGGATACACTGGGTTAAATAAAATATATAAAGTTTAGTTTCACCCATTTTTAAAACTTTTTAATATGGCTACTGGAAGAGTTAAAATTATATGTGTGGCTGACATTACATTGCTTTTGGATGGTGCTGGTCTAAGCCCTGCAGAGTAGTAATAGGTTCATGGGAAAAAAAGGGCACAGGTATGAGACAGGAGGAGCCAGAGACATGAAAAGAGAGAACAGGGAAGAAGGGGTGAGAAGCAGCCCAGGGTGAGCCTCTGGGCGTGTATTTCTGCAGTTTCACATCAAGGAGGGC